GATTGTTGTTACTTATTGTTGCTGTTGTTATTGTTGTCCTTGTCATTGTTGTTGTTACTGTTATTATTGTTATGGCTGCTATTATTGTTATTATCGTTATTGTTGTTACTGTTGATTGTTTTTTGTTGTTACTGTTGTTATTGTTGTTGTTGTTGTTCCTGTTGTTATTGTTGTTGTTGTCAATGCTGTTGTTACTGTTGATTATTGTGGCTTTCATCATGATGAATTAATCAAGCTAACCCTGGTAGTTATTACTGTAATTGATATCTACCATGATATATCATTAATTAAACCTCCGTAAGTTCACGCGCTATTCCATCATTGACGACATCAAGAGGATTAAAACGTGTTAGTACCACACATGGTGTTCCAGGTAATAATTCCTCCCATTCCAACGGTTTTATTGCTTTCAATATAATATGTGCTGCATCAAAACACGGCGGTCGATTATCAGCATATAAACGAACCCATGCATAAGCATCTTCTAATTCAATAACATATACCTAAAATTAGAAGTACCAAATCTCTTTTTTAAACTGATACCAAACTTATTTACTGATAATTTGTAATTTATAATTTTCAATTTGGAATTTATAATTAAAATTTCCTTTGATTTTTTATAAAACAAAATTTTCTAAAATGTTTTATAAAGATTTATTACATTTAATTTAGAATTTATAATATTCGTTTTTATCATGATAGTTCAAATGTAAGAAATGAATTTATACATAATAAAATTAAATAATAAATTATAAAGGTATATAGTAAGCGATTCGAAATTTATGCAATTTTTTATTAATTAATTAAAAATATGGTTATTATGCATAAAATGATTACTTTATGAATAATATTAAGTGCCAATGGTTTCCCATTTGGATAGCGAACAACTCGTGTTTCTAATTGCTTGCTTTTCATTAATTGTTCTTGAACCAATGATATTGTTTCCTTAGCCAATGATGCACTAGTACGTAACAGTCCATTATCACCTGATAACTGCAACTATTTGATAAGGAAGAATGAAAAGATGATAATTTTTTCCTTGAAATTAAATAATTTCAAATGGATAATTTTAGCAATAAATTTTAAAAAAAGTTTCTAATTTTTATAAATTCTATTGAAGCCAATCATATATTTTTCGTTTTATTTTAATTTAATTTTTATTTCAATTGATATTTTTATTTTAATTTTTATTTAAATTTCACTTTTTTAATGCATTGAGTTTTCGTATCATATAAGATGTTTAATTTGCTTATTTACCACTGAAGAAAAAGCGATAAAAAAATGAAATGATATTATTGTATGACTGATGTGATATAAAGATATAGCTGTAGAAGTGGCTTATAAGTAATTATTTTGATGGCTCATAAAGATTTGATAATTAATTTGATAATACAAATTAAATAATTCATTTAAGGATCTAATTTGATGATACATTTGATGGTCAATATTTGACAGTTTTTTGAAAAAAAGAAACCAACAAAAATTGTTCTTAAATGATCAAGATTTTAAATGATAAAGATTCATACTTTGTTAACTGTAATATTGCGATTGATCACTTGCCCTTCATTATCTTCCATATCAGATATTTCGCCTGCTAATGCTGCTGAAATTACACTTAACATTAAAAATGTGTACAATTTAGCATTGCTCCTTTTTTTCCCTATTATTATAATCTTCCTAATTATTACTAAAAACTTGGCGAAAAAAAATTGCAATTGAAATATTTGAATATTTTGGCGGTAATTTCGCTATTTTTTCTAACAAATTAAACTCAAATTTTTCTAATTATCCGAAAAATAAAATCTCTTTCATTAGAATTCATTTTAATTTCCTTCTTCAATTTAAATTCCATTTAATAATCATAATTGTTACTTAAGTCATTTGCAATCTCGATATTGCTTCAAGTGTAAAAATTTTCCATTATCATTTAACTTTATTTGAAATTATGTTCTTTTTTTTCTTTTTTTTATGACGAAATGTAATTGATAATTGATATAATTGATAACAAAAATACAATTGGAAAATAATTCTATTATCGTCCGCAGTTATTACCCTGCACTTTTTCTTTTCTGTTTGTCAAATTCAAACTAAGTTTATCCAATTTACACAAAACTTCCTCAACAATTTTAATTCATTCAGCAAAACTATTTTCAACGTTGCTAATTGAAATCATACTTTTTTCAAAAATTAACCTTCAATATCGCAATAAAATTTTGCTGCCTTTTTTTTATTTGAACGTTTTGATTGTAGCAATAATTTGGATATATTATCATCGTTAAATTTACTATTATTCATTTTGTACTACAATAAAAATGAAATAATCAAAAATACTGAAGGAATTGAATGAAATTATCATTATACATGTATTGTAATTTGATTAATAGAATTTATCATTAAAATTTTTCCAAATCGATTTGATTAATATTAATGATAATTTTTATTAACCAAATAATAAGAAATAAATTAACTTATCCAAAATAAAAGATGAGAACTTGCCGAATGCATTCGATTAACAGTATTAATTGTAGCAGTAACAGAATATGGTAGTACATTTGAACCACGAACTTGAATTAATGATAGAAAAAAAAAAAAAAAAAATTAAATTATACACTAATCAATATTATTATATTATTTATATTACCAATATTAAATTACTTGTTGCCGGATTATTTAGATGTGAACTAAATCCAATCTATAAATGTCTTCTATTTACATGCAGATATCATTGTAATATATTATCGGATTTATTAGAAATATCGTATAAACTATGATTTTTTTATCACTGTAAAATTATCTTGAAAAATATCATGTAATAATTATGCAATGATAAATTAAATTATAGTTGAATAATATTTATAATCATCGTATCACATAATCTTATCTTTGTTAAATGCTTTTTTTTTTTTTTTTTCTTTAATTAAATATTACTTATTTAACAAACCATTTCGAGTGTAGAAATTTTGCTGATAACGTTGGCGGACAACCGATTTATGATTGATATTGTTTTTATAATTACCACCATTATGAGCCAAAATGTTGGCGCTGTTGTTGTTGTTGCTGTTGTTGTTGTTGCTGTTGTTGTTGTTGTTGTTGTTGTTGCTGTTGTTGTTGTTGCTGCTGTTGTTGTTGTTGTTGTTTAATGTGGACTAAAATTTGAAATAAAAAAAAAAAATGAGAGAATTGAAATATGTGAGGTAAAATATTTGTAATTTACCTTTCTTATAAATATTTGTTACATTTTGACAAATTTTCAATTGATTGCCACTCTTTCCATTCTACAAATCATTTGATTATCATTTCCTTCGTTTATTTGAATATGATTTTTTCATTTTATTACATTTTTAATTTGATACATTCATTCGTTTCATGCACTCCTTAAATTTTAATAATATTGTAGACTATTGTTTTCCAACCATTGATTCCCGACCAGAGATCACTCTGGCTTTCTTATTTGTAGCACCGATAACAAAGTTCAAACATAATAAATTCTCGAAATTTGAAAATATTACTTTAATTGAAACTTTCAGCAAAAAGTGAGTTAAATTTGGCAAAATACTGTAACACAAAAGAAATAAAGGGTGTCGCTCATATCGTGAATGGAAACAAAGGAACAATAGTCCCCTTTGTTGAAAGCTAGACATCTTTGCTGTATATGCTCATATCGTCTTAATCCTATACTAATGGGTGCTCAATAAGGAAGCTAATTCTTAAACGGTACAAGGACCCTCCCACTCGGAGAAACGGAAGATCCTGAGCGCTAAATCATTTGAGAAGACGTGTTTCGACAGATTGGCTAGAGGACATTGGGTGTGATTTAGTCTTCTTATTCTTAGCGTCTTCGTTATTGATTTGTTGTGTCGATGTCCTAATTGCAAGTTTGTTGTTGTATTAATAAATTTATCGTAACCCAAGTATGAGGTACTACCAGCTAAAGAGGAAGAAAGAACCCTTAGTTTTTGTCACGGTTGAAGAAAATCGGCGACAAAGGGAATGTAATTTTTAATACTTTTAGCGGTCTACATTTAACTGCTCGTGAAATATCAGTGATT